ATATTAAGACCTTATTTTTCACCAATGTGAGGCTTACCTACCGAAAACAACCTTTCATTTCAAACCTTAGTGTTGAAAACCTTTCTAAATATAGAAGTAGAATTTGCATTCTTAGTAATTCCCCTTGTGCATTTATGCTTTATTTTGCAGATAATTAACTATTAAACAGAGGCTGGAGAAGGCAAAGAAACTTCAAGTGTTTTGAATTACTGCCAAGTAAAAATCAATCATCAAAAGAAGGCCGTTTAAAATTATAACGATAGTCAATATGAATATAGTAATAGCTGGCCTTCAATTTTTTCAGGATTTATCGCTTATGGAAAACAAGACATGCTGGTACAAAATGGTCCTAATCACTGTGAACTTCGTAAAATGAAGTGTGTGGTAGGATGAGGGCTGAAACTTTTACAACTATCAAATTTGGCTATACTTCATAATAACCAGAAACGTCAACATAGGTTAAAGAATACAAAGTATAACAACCATTAGTCTAGAATGCTTTCTTTCTTTTTTTCATTTCTGTGATATACACACAACAAAACCTACAACATGTCATTAATTTCTATATGTGCACTTCAGTGACACTGATTACATTCTTCAAGTTGCACAACCATTCTTCCGGACTTTTTCTAAATTATCCTACCACCACTAGAGAATGCTTTCTTTTTATACAATAATGCTTATTATTTAGATTTCAGATTTTTGGCCTCACTTCTCAGATTAGGTATGAATTCAGTAGTCCACAAAAAAAGCCTCATGGCTTCAACGGTTACCAAAATGCTAGAGAATTAAAAACACTACATGACTGGTAATATGCCCTAAGCAGAAAGAGATGCCCGCTGCTTGCTGAACAATGGCCAAAGCCCAACAACTGTAAGAACTTTAATGCACAGGAAAAGACAGATAATGATGGAAGAGAGGAAAAAAACATTAAAGAATTAAACCAAACCAAAACCAAATCAGTTGCCATAGAGTTGACTCGGACTCATGACAACCCCACATGCTTCAGAGAAGTGCATTCCATAAGGTTTTCATGGGTGGGATCTTTTGGAAGTAGACCACCAGGCCTTTCTTCTGAGGTGCCTCCAGGTGGATTAGAACCAACAACCCTTTGGGTAGCAGCCAAATCCTTAACCATCTGTACCTCCCAGGGACTCCAGAAAGTTAAACTGAGGACAGAAAAATAAAGCAAAATGCCAGATAGGTAAAGGAACAATAAAGATTAAAGTCAAGAAGTGATAGCAGAGAACGAGTAAGGACATGATACAGGAGAAAAATAAAGTATTAACCAGAACAGCAAACCTCTTAAGGGGAATGTGTAGCTACACATATTTCACTAGCTATTTGAAGCCTCTTTGTTATAAAGTGTTATAGCTATTTTAACTATAATAACTGCCCATACCCGTTGCCATCGAGTTGATTTCGACTTATAGCAACTCTACAGGACAGAGTAGAACTGCCCCATAGGGTTTCCAAGGAGTGGCTGGTGAATTCAAACTGCCAACCTTTTGGTTAGCAGCTGAGCTCTTAACCACTGTGTAACCAGGGCTCCAACTATAATAACTAGAGGTCAAAATAATGAGCACGAGTCACCAATATATGGTGAAACCATGTTCACTCTACTCTTTACTAAGACAAAAGCATATGATACATTTTTAAATAGATTCCTTCAAAATATAGTCTTTTATACTTCCTTAAGTTATTGTTGAATGAATGACTAGAAAAATTAACTTGACTTATATGGAAAAAATTATCTCCTTCAAAGTATTTCATTACTTAGCAATCTGGGTAGGTGAAGTGATGTTATACAAAAAGAGAGTAACAGCAGTGTATGCTTAGCTCCCAGTAGTATGGGGGGCCTCTGCATGCTCTTTATAAGCTTAAACCTCACAATTCAACTTCCCTGATATACAGTATACTTCCTAGCACTATCCACTCCCCATGACAGCACCAAGGAGCAACTTCGGTCTCCTTAAACAGGAGGGCAATACAGAGGAATAACATGAACATGGAAGATATGCAGTTCTATACTGTTATTTAATTCTAATTTTATATACACAAAAGAATCCCTTTCTTTGAAGAAAACTCTCAAGGAAGTTTTGTTATTTGCCATACTCTCTTGATTTTTATACATATTATAAAATTCATTTATGTTTACTTTGAAAGATAAATGTGTCTTCTATAATTTGGGATTCACTAGGATTTAAATGTCATTCAACAATCTGTGGCTTACCACCCTTTCCTCCTCTGGAATAAAAATGAGAAAATGTGATGATGGCAGTATAAAACACAGTGTATGACATGAATTATATACTCAGTAAATATTTGTTCTCTCACTTCCCCCAATCAATTCTACATTTAGAATTTTATAAGACTAATTTATAAAGATCACATTCTTCTACGTTAAGATGCAGAATACATCCATTATAATAACATTATTTGAAATAGAAAAATGCTACATTTTTAGAAAATAATGCAAGACTTTCACTCTATGTGGTGTCGCTTTTAGTAAGCATGATTTGACTCCTATCATATCTGCCTCTGGATAACAATACGCCATACCACAGTAAATCTGACTGTCATTTGAAATTCGTTGCGTGACTGTGTCTGTATCTGTATGCATGCGCATATGTGTGTGCATGTGTGACACCGAGAAAGAGAGACAGAAAGAAAAGATAAGGAAGGGAAGGAAAACACAGGGAAGGGGGGCGCAGGAATAGAGAAAGAAAAGGAGACTGAGACTTGGATAAACCTTGAAGTTCAAATACTGGAGTTGAAGGAAGGAGCCACGTCAAATTCAACTTTTTATCTTCATAGCAGTTAACACACTGCTTTCAAACATTGAGTGATAACTCAGGAAATGTCCTGAATAAATAAACGAATGAAAAATTCCTAAAATGTACTCACAGTGGGGTAATTAAACTATTTTCCCTAAAAGTGAAGTGCCTTTACTTAAATTCCATATTATTTACACATTACAATTATACTCACTTTTATAAAGGTTAATGGAGCCCTTGTGGTACAGTGGTTAAAGCAATCAACTGCTAACCAAAAGGTCGGTGGTTCAAAACCACCAGCAGCTCTGCAGGAGAAAGATCTGGCAGTCTGCTTCCTTAGAGATGTACAACCTTGGAAAGCCCTATGGGGTCACTATGAGTTGGAATCAACTCGACAGCAGTAGGTTTTTTTGGTTTTTATAAAGGTTAATTTTCATTTACTGTGACTATCTAATTGTAGTGTCCTGGGGGAGGGAAGCAGAGGTATCATAGATTGAATTGTGTTCCCCAAAAATATGTGTCAACTTGGTTAGGCCATGATTCCCGGTATTATGTGATTGTCCTCCATTTTGTGATTGTAATTTTATGTTAAAGAGCATTAGGGTGGAATTGTAACACCTTTACTAAGGTCACATCCCTGATCCAATGTAAAGGGAGTTTCCCTGGACTGTGGCCTGCACCACATTTTATCTTACAAGAGATAAAAGGAAAAGGAAGCAAGCAGAGAGTTGGGACCTCATAGCACCAAGAAAGAAGAACCAGGAGCAAAGCGTGTCCTTTGGACCCAAGGTTCCTGCATGGAGAAGCTCCTAGTCCAGGGGAAGATTGATGACAAGAATCTTCCTCCAGGGCTGACAGAAAAAGCCTTCCCTTGGAGCTGATGCCCTGAATTTGGACTTCTAGCCAACTAGACTGTGAGAAAATAAATTTCTCTTTCTTAAAATCATCTACTTGTGGTAAATCTGTTATAGCAGCACTAGGTGACTAGACAAGAGGGGTTTTTTCCTTTTTTCTTCCTTCCTTATTCATTTCACCCCAAGGCATTAAGTGCCCACTCATAAGTAACTGACTTTGGTAGATATTGCCATAAATAAGGTCCATTTTATGTTTTGTGGTCATCATGACTTGGGTCATCAGCATCTCAGACAGCTACCAATACTTATAATGATGTAACAGTTAAGGATTGAAAGATACCAGAGTGATCTTGCTAAATACAGATCTTATCACCTCCTCCTTTTGCTTACAAAATAATATTCAAATTCCTTAACTCATTACACAATGTCCTTGGCACTCATTCCTTTTATTTCTAGGTCGGAATTGACTCCAGGGCAATGGGTTTTTTAACAGCAGAAAACCAGCTGTGTAGAGTTGATTTTGACTCATGCAACCCCATGTGTGTCAGAGTAGAACTATGCTCCATAGGATTTTCAACAGCTGACTTTTTTGGAAGTAGATCACCAGGTCTTTCTTCCAAGGCACCTAGCCTAGTGTTATTCATCTATATAAGGTTACTGCCTAGTACAGGCCTTGATTCTTAGCAGATACTCCATAAATATTTGCAGAATGAATTACTGTGAAATGAATGAAACCTATCACAAATCAATACATCATTAAATGTAACTGGTGGAGTATGACATCTATATCTAACCACATTTATTATTTAAATATTAGAATTTTAAAACCATCTATTAGGGCTTGAGTTTAGGCATTTCAACAAACAGGAACTATGTGAAGAGAAATAAAAGGGCCTAATGCATAGGAGGAAAAGTAGAAATCTGAAAAAGAAGCTAATCTAAATGAACAGGTGAGGAAAAAAGAAAACACTAATTTTTTTTAACAAACATGGAAAGAAAATATGAGAGATTTCTATTTATAAACTAGGTAGAAATACTTAAAATAAACCATGAGTTCCTTTGAGACCACAATAGATAAAAATATTGTCTGTTATTTAAATTTCAAGTTCAAATACAGACTACATAATCTAAAAACTCTAATCAAGCTAAATGTTTCAGGAACTATATTAAAACACAGTTTCAACAGCAAAACAGAATCCAGATTAATGTTTAGTAAAATAATTTTAAGATATATGTAAAGATTGACTGTACATAATAGAATTTTAGGAATTAATGTAAATTATCCTGCATTCTCAATAATTAAACATGTTTTAAATGTCTTTATGTGGATACATTTTATAAATACACTGCAAGTGTTTTGAAGTCATACCTGTAAAAGAGTTGTTCTATGGAGTTTCAGTGCCCCCTTCTGGTGAATTTTAGCAAAGCAGCCTGAACAATAATCTTCTCCACATTCAAGACATACCTTAAGAGATACAGAAAAAACATAGGCAATTACAATGACTTTGAGCAAATGATTTCCTAAAGATGTCACTATTCTCATCCTTATTTCTGAAATAACATGCCTTGGTGTCGTTAGAATTGAAAAGCCCAAGGAAATTGGTACAATCACTTGTCCCAATTAAGATTTAACTCTTAATAGAAAACTAACTTGTAAACTCTAATTATTTCAATATTAAACATGATATTTGCAAGGTAGATTTTAGATACATGTGTTCGATGTATATAGGTAGGTAAAATTGCTGAATAAATCATAAAACAGCCAACAGCTTCAGGTCAAACTTCTTAACCTGGTAAAATCTAAACAGCATTCTCTGTGTCAAAACTACTTAATGAGTTTTTCTGATGAGTAATTTTATCTCTCTGCGTGGATTTATACGGCACAATTAGTTTTAAATGATATGTATATTATTTGCCTCTCAAAATTCCCATATAATTCCTTAAGTGTCCTTCACTGGTGATTACCAAAATATGGTGTTTAAAGTGTTCTTAAAAGAGTCCCAAAAATAAAGAAAGGAGAAGAAAAAAATTGGATAGAACTTCATCAGAATGTCAATGATGTTTATTACTGGTGAAATGATTATGAGCAAGTTTATATTTATCTTCCAATTCTCTACAGTGTTAAAAAATGTAATTTTTAAATTTCCTGAATAAATTGAATAATGTTATATACCTGTATCTCTGAAGGTGTCAAGCAAAACTGAAAGTGAAGAGACAAGAAAATAGAATTTTTACTGCAAGTGAAATTACTAGTGGGCAGTTGTACAGCTGCTTCAACGCCTTTGACAATATGATAAAAAGCAGTGCAAACTGCTAAGATCCCTCATTTTCCTGAGTTTGGCTCAAGCTGAGAAGAGCCACCAGCGGCACAAATAAGAAAGCATGAGGGCTTGGAGAGATGGTGTCAGAAAGTCTATGTCTTTTGACCCCCTTTTGTATCCTCTCCCCTTAGGTGCCCACCACCCACCATTCTTCTCCTCTTCCACTCTCTTCATATCATATCTTCTGCCTTGTCCTGGTCGATGTCGCACTGAATGTACTACAGTGACACTACTCAAATTGTTACAATTCAGATTCTAGTGCAGTAAGTCTGGGATGAGACTTGAGATCCTACATTCTAATAACCTCTCAGGTGACGTCCATGTTACTGCTGGTGAACAGACCAATCATTGAGTAAGAAGGAACTAGAATGTATATAATGCACAAAAGTAGTCTAAACGTTTATCAAAAACTCAACAGGAGACTTTTAAGCTATTAATTTTTAAAATCTGTACTAAAAGTCCCCATGTGATGACACTGTTACCTACAACAATGTAGCCAGGTTTATTAAATATAAAATGATAAAAAAACACTAAAAAAAAAGTTCAAAGAGTAATCAATTTTACTAAAATGAAATGAAAAAGAGGGGCTAGAATCAAGTAACAGTAACAATATTGGCAACATTTAGTGAGTCCTTAGTTACTCTTTTAATTCTGTGTTTCATCCCACTTAATCCTTAAAACAGCTCTATAAAGTAGGAACCATCATCCCATCTCCTCTGTGAAGATGAGGAAACAAAGGAACACTATGATTAAGAATTTGCCCACAGTCATCGTCTCTAATAATGGTGGAGCCAGGATTTCAACCCCACAGTCTAGCTCAAAGCTCAAACTCTTAAGCATGACACACAATACTAATCATTAAACCAATCGTTGACCATTAACCTCAGTACTAATCATTTGTTGAAAAACCTTGATAACACCTACAATAAAATAAAATATTTCAAATGACTGCACAGTTTGGTATTTATCAAAATCTGAATGTGTTTTTCAAATGTGATTAGCTATACAGAATTAAATTTTTTAACAGGAAGAAAAACACTATGGGAACTAGTCGTCCACTTTCGACTCTTGTTTCAAAAGCTACGATCTCTTAAAGAAATGTTGATAAAACCATTATCCTAAATTGATGCTTTTTAAGTGCTAAATCAACTAAAAAGCTATGATTTCACATAAATATATGGTAGTATTATTATATTAATGTAGATTAGAAAAGTATTCTGTATAATTTTTACTTAAAGAAATGAAAATCAGTTTCAGCATATAATTCTAAGCCAAATATTTGTTAATAATAGATTTTTAATGAAAGTAGACAAATGGATGTTTATAGACTAGAAGATCAATGCTGGAGCTGCAAAGTAAGCTTATATATTTTGTTATACAAGCATATTTGGGTTTAAATTGGGTTAAAATGACTGCCAACTGGAAAATCTTTTTGGGCAGTTTGTATAACTGCAGAAACATGTTAAAAATGTAGATAAGGATTCCATTCCACCACAAATGCTTCTTCGATGATAGAATACCCAAGTGTAGTTTTAGCAAATATCATGCTAATTTGATCAAGGCCAGATCAGTTATGCTAAGTCTTAAAGAATCCATTTGAGTTTACTTGCCCAGATTAACCAATTTAATACATAACTTTTAACTATCTATTTTACTTTTGCCATGTAGAGAGAGCCCAAAGCTACTGGAATTTCTTGACGTTCCATCCACATGAGTGATTGCATAAGGTCATAAGAAAATGTGCCAATGACAAAAGCACACACAATTGATTGGCTCCTTTCTACATGCCAGGCACAAGGCTAAGTACTTCAGATGCATTAACTCATGCTACCCTCAATGTATTTGAGGTACAGTCTGTAGTTAATCCTACTGTTCTATTTTACAAATAACAACACAGAACTATAAAGAAATTAAGTCACTGTCTGAATGTTACACAGCTAATAACAGGTAAAGTTGAAATTCAAACCTTGAAAACCCAGTCTTTTAACCACTACTTACCATACATAAATTTCCCTGTTGATAGCCTCCTTGCAAGATATAAAAAGATTTACTCTAATTATCTAGTCAGCATAACCACCTAGAATGATAGAAGCTGAAAACACAGGACAACCTCAGAATTTAATGATACCACAGTCTACTTCATCAGAACTATCTGTCTAATCTGAATTTATAAATGGTTTATTGTTGTGCTTTTGAGAACTTTCATGGTACACAGTCTGCCTTTCAAATCAAAGAATACAATTTCTTAAAATCTCAGTGAAATTCATCATGGATTTTTAGGACCTACACCCTGGCTTCTTTAGATGGCTTCCAGGTCAATCAGCTCTTTAATCACTGCAAACATCGTCACTCTCATCAGCTTTCCAGCCAAGGAACATGCCATTTATCCTGTCTGGGATGTCCTTCCTCTTCCTCTTCCTTCTCTCTGGAAAATACAGATCTTTCTTTTCAAGTCAGTCCTTGTCTAGGTAGATCATACTGCTCAAGTCCCATGGCCTTTACATAGTGCACAACACAGAACAGATTCACAGCTCCTTCATAAATCCTCTTCAGATCACCCACAGTGCATCTGGACAATTCAATTCAAACAGTAAGTCCCCTTTTAGCTTTCATAATTCCAACTCCAGAAACATTAGTATCTATGTATCTTTTTTACACATTTCTGGCTAGTTACACTTTGTTAACATTCTTTAAATTACTGTCCACCATCATACCAAACAACATAAGAAAACAGTATGATGAAATAGTAAAAGCATTGTAATAAGACTTAGGGCTTTAGATTCAATACTGCTATTAGACCTTTGTTAGACTTATAGCACTCGCACTCTTTGATCTCAGTTAATACTGCCATTAAATAAGGCTAGAAATATAGTAGTCTCAAATCAGAAATGAGTATAGCTAAATTCTCTAAAACTATAAAGTAATCCACACATCACCACACATTCTTTGGGAGGAAAATCATTTCATACATACGTGTAATATTCTACACTGCAAAAGATAGTGAAGCATCTCGGATGGTAACCAAAAGAAAAGTATTTGTAAATTAATGAAAAGTCTATATTACAGAATAGTTTCAAAGAAATGATTATGCAGCAAATATTTTTTAAGGCCTGACTACAGAGCAAGCATAATTCTAGGTGGTGGGCACACAGCAATGAACAAAACTAAATCCCTACCCTCATGAATCTATGTCATAGGGACTGGGAAATAGACAATAAACAAATAAGTAAATATATATTAAGTGGTAATAACTGTTATATGGATAAATGAAGTAGCTTCAGAAAAATCAAAACAGAATGTAGCTCAGCTGTTACTACTTTATACAGGTTGATCAGGATAAGTAATTATTTCAGCTGACATTTACTGATATGGGGAGATGAGAGTGAAGAAAATTTGTTGGGGAGAAATTAAGAATTCAGTTTTGAACACATTAAATTTGTGATGCCTATTAGACATCTTAGTAGAGATGTTGAGTAGACAGCTTGAGTCGAAAGTTCAAGGGAGAGGTATGGGTCAGAGACGTAAATTTGGGAAACATCAATGTAAAGATGGTGCTTAAAACCAACAGAAGGATGAAATTACCTAAACAGTAAGAATAAAACCAAAACACCTGTTGCTGTCGAGCTGATTCTGACTCATAGCGACCGTACAGGACACAGTAGAACTGCCCCATAGTGTTTCCAAGGAGCTGCTGGTGAATTCGAACTGTCGACCTTTTGGTTAGCAGCCGAGCTCTTAATCACTACGCCACCAGGGCGCCAAAGAGTAAGTATAGATAGGCTAGAAAAGGATCCTACAGACTGAGCCCTATGGCACACCAACATTAAGAACTCAAGAATACAGAAAATGAAACCAAGGGAGAATGGTGTCCCAGTGGAAGGAAAGTGAAAAAGAAGGGGAGAGGAATAGTGTATCAAATATTACTGACAGATGAAGATAAGAGCTGAGAATTGACCACTGTATTTAGGAATAAGGAGCTCTGCTGGTCCAGTGGTTAAGAACTCAGCTGCTAACCAAAAGATCGGCAGTTCTAATCCACCAACTGCTCCTTGGAAACCCTACGGGGCAGTTCTACTCTATCCTATAGGGTCGCTGTGAGTCAGAATCGACTCGATAGTGAAGGGTTTATTTAGGAATGTGGAAGTCACTGGTGACCTTGATAAGAGCAGTTGCTGGATAGTAAAGACCCATGACTGAATATAAAGAGCTCAAGAGAGAATGGAAGGACAGAAAATGGTGACAGCAAATATAGACAGCTCTTTGGAGGAGTTTTACTATAAGGGAGTACAGAGGGAGATGTGGGGTCAGGGAAGGATTTTTGTTGTAGATTTGCTTTTGGTTTTTGTTTTAGATTGGAGAGATTGCAGTGTGCTTGTATGTTGATGGGCATGATCTAATACAGGGGGAAAAAAGGAATCACAGGAGAGAGGACAAGAGTTAAAGCGATGTCCTTGAACAGGAATGAGAGGATGGGATTCTGTGCATGAGTAAAGGTACCTGCCTTATGCAGCAGCATGCACATTTCACCCATAGCAACAGGAAGGAAGGAAAAGTAATGAGGTCAGTTGGGAAACGTGTGTGAGACTACATGGAATTTCTATTCTGATTATTTTAAGTTTCTCACTGAAAAAAGAAGCAAGGTCATCAGCTAACAATAGGAGAGGAGAGAAGTACTGGTGGTTTGAGGAGAAAGGTTTCAGTCAGGAGGTGAATACGGAAGCAACTACCCTGGGGAACTACAGTGGGATTGTCAGGTAATGCTTTCAAATGTTAAGTAATGCTATTAAAATGTTGTAAAACACTATCTTTTTAGCGCTTCTTAGCCTACAACCCCTTTCTTCAAGGAAAGCTTATGTGGTTCAACATATGAAGTAGAAAAAAGTGGAGCTGCTCAGGTTGAGAGCAGTGAGGCAGCAGCCCCTAGAGTCTGTGAGGGACTTCCCACAATACAGAGTTTTAAAAACACTTCCTTAAATTAGACATAATCTGAAAACTAGCTCACAAGGTTTTACCTAATAATAGTTCCTCCATTCCCTTATATTATATTACCATTAAATTAGCAGAGTTAGCTCTACTTCTTAGAAAGTGTACATAATAGTGGGATTTGTGATTACAATTATCTCACAATTATGGCAAAATAAAATGCATTCTCTCCATCAATAGTGTGGAGAGACTGGGCTGGGCTATTTTAAGGGCTTGAGCACGTTCTCATGATGGTTTAACGTAACAACTCACATTGAAACAAGCATGCAACTTAAAAAAATCTGTATTTAAAGCCCTATTTAACCTGACTTCTTACTTGATATCTTACTATTGGGCTGCAAAGGTCCTCTGCCTGACCCAGGCTTTTGCAAGTCACTCTGCACTGACCCCAAACACCACTATACTCCTGCCACCCCTGCCCCCTTCTCCCTCCAAACTCCATCCCTCCTTTAAGATGGCTTAAGCTCGTCTTCTTTATACAGCCTCCATGATCAGTCCAGTTCACAACCACCCATGGCACTTATTTTCTTTAATACTTGGAAACTGAACCATTTATGATTTTGTATTATTTTTTCCATAATGATAGTAATAATTAAATAGCGCTTATTGTGTTAGTTTAAGACTTTCTTATTATTATTGTAAGCCAGTATATAAATGGTGACAGGCACCATTCTTAGTGCTTTACATGCATTAATCATTTAATTCTGAAACCAGACTCTATTAATATGCCTGTTTTACAAATAAGAAAACTAAAACAGTGAGTTTAAGTGTCTTGCCCTAGATCATAGAGCAAGTAAGCAGAGATATAGAGAGGTGCATCCAGGCAGTCTGGCTTCAAGACCCAGATTCTAAACACTATGCTATACTGACCACATATTTATTTCACCAACAGGAGTGTGAGTTGAAGAAAAGTTCTCACATCCCATACTTCCCCATTCTCTATCCCTTGCCTTCAAAAACGGAATTTACTGAATAAGTAAATTCACTTTAACCATTACCAACAAAGCAGTGTTTCTTTGATCATTAACAGGAATGTAGAAATAGAATCTTTACTGAAATACATATACAATATTAATTTCTTATTGGTATGTACTTATATATTAATTTCTTATGAGATAATTCAGAGAAAATAGAAATATTTCAAATGTCAAATCTAAGAATTAAGAAGCACCGTTTACATTCTTTTAACAAAATATATTAGATACGGCACAACACACTTTATTGTCCCAGACTTAAACTGTCACTCTTATTATAATGCACATACTAGCAGAGCAGCTTTGTTCTCACACTGTCCGCAAACCTTTCCTTTTATCTTGGGTTTTTCATTTTCAGAAGAATTTGCCATGTTATAATTATGCGGTTGTTTCGTAGGCTCTGGACGGAAATAAAAAATAAAGGTCTGATCAATCACTTTAAAACGAAATGTTTAGGTTTTTTTCTGGTTAATAAAGTAATGGAACTATGAATATTTCCAAATTCTCAAAGAGTATTTAAATATTTGCTGCCCATAAGAATGTCATGGAGCCAAATCTAATCTTTTTAGCAATCTGAGGAGTCCACAGGCCTCCACTCACTCCCGTGTGACCACAGCACTAACACACATCCACCCATATCCACTCTGCTTTAAACTCACATATAGAATAACAGAATGTTAACAACCGTGCTCATGATGGAATTCCTATGGCATTCTTCCCCATCTCTGGATCAAACTGAAGTGCACGTAGACCAACTTCTAAACATTTATCATATCATATGTAATAAGTATATGTAATACATTATATGTGTAATAAACTTGTAGTAAATATTATCATGTATCTATTTCTTCAACTTGTTCTACCAAATTATCTTAACCATTCATAATTGAAAATGTTTATCCCCCGAGAAAAAGAAAAAAAAAATTTCCTTTGGAATCATTAGGAATGCAAAATTTATTTTCGATTTTTGCTATGGTTATATATTTCATTAAATTATATAAAGCAATTTTTAAATATTCTTTTAATTTCCCATAATAAAATTTTAATTTATAATTTTATACTGCTAAATTAACTTCCTGGATAAAAAATTATATTAATAAAGTTTAAAGGACAGTGCCATGAAAGTTCTCACTTTTGAAAATGTTATTATAATCATATTCTAAGTAGACTTTTTTTTGACAAAAGATAACTACCCCCTCAAGAAAAAAACTGAATAAAATTTATTTAAAGATCAAAGATAAATAGTCATTTTTGGATTTAGAATCTTTATATTGCGTGAAAAATTCTAGCATTTTAATTTGTATTTGTAACTCAAATATAAAAAAAAGCATTCATCTTTAACATCTAATAATATAGTGGTAAATCGTTTACCTTGAAGCTGATCCTTCAGTAATTTTAATTTCACTTTTCCAGCAGAAAGCTATATTAATAAAATAGATATATTGGTCAAGTATACATTCTCCTAGTCAAAAAAATTTTGTTACTATCAACAAGAACAACAACAACAAAAAAAATTAGGTTTAACATTGATGTATCTTGAACAAAACAAATTAATTTTGAAAGAATAATATAAAATAAATAAAAGATCATTTTAAAGCATATATGAACCTTTTAATGAAGAGAAAATTCACAAAAAGAAAAATGTTAGAACTATATATAAACCACTTTTTAAAAATATGCCATAAATTTAATTTTTTAAACAAACAAAAATCATTATATATAGGCATGTCACGATTTTAGGAAAGCACTAGTATTCAAATACTTTAAAGGTTCAACAAGTCTCTTCTATTTCTGCTCTTTCTAACACAAAGTATAATATTTGTCTAGACTGAATCTAGGCTAAATTCTGACTGAGCTACTTTGATTACCTAAAAGTAGAAGCCAAATTTATTACCTTATTTACCCAATGTAAAGAACTACCTGTTTAAACATCATAGACTTAATCTTCAAATATATTATTTATGATCCTTGACTTTCTTTCCCAAGTTGTAGCCAAAAAATTGAGTAAGATTCACTGTGAGGTATTTCAAACCTCACCAATCTGCTTACTTAAAATTTTTGAATCTTAAGATTTTAGGAAATGAAAAAGATGTGCCAATTGCATATACTTATTACACTTACTAAACCAGCGTTTAAAGTACAAATGAGCATGGAGGATGGTGTGCATTTATATAGACTGTCAATTCATGCCTAGCTTTCAATTTGCAATTTGCATGCTCAACTGCCTGATTTGTACATGAAAATATGTGAACAATGGCTGCTTTTATGTTCATGGCTGTACCAACTGCAGTCATCTTTGAAAATTTAGGCCTAATTATTCTCAGTGAATCTCATGGCTTTGCTTCAAAAAAGGGCACCTATTGTTCACATTCTTTGAAGTAGCTGCTTAGATGTGTTCCAAACACAACAGAAGAGAAGATAGGATTTAAATAATCAATTCTTACATGAATCAGACTTTTATTTTTGAACTGGTGACGTTATACATGTTACAGATAATTTAAACTCATTTTTCATAACCAAATTATCCAATATGATTACCTTAATGGTATATCTGAATTGCAACATGCTCACTGTGGTTATAGACTATCTGTTCAGAATGGATGGATATATCAAAGCAAACTGAATCCATTATTATGAAAATTTTATATTTTGTTTTCATTAAGATGAATAATATTTTTCTGCTCTATGAATATAGCCATATTTACTTCAAATGATTCAAGCTGCATAAACATATTTCAATGAAAAAATCGCTAGCTGCTATTTTTAGGCAAATAAAATTTCGTCCTAAGTCTGATTTTTATCTGCTTGGGAAAGAGTTGGAGGCGTAACAGGAAATATAGATTTACATACAGACTTATACATACACATGGAGTCCCTGGTGGCATGAATGGTTAGGCATTCCACTAGTAGCTGAAACGTTGGCAGTTCAAACCCACCCAGAGGTGCCTCATAAAACAGGCCTGATAATCTGCTTCCAAAAGGTTATAGCCTTGAAAACCCTATGGAGCAGTTCTACTCTGTATATGTGGGGTGGCCATGAGTCATAACTGACTTCAGGGCAAATAACAACAAACAACATATACACAGACATAAACTCACACACACAAATATATATGCATACATCCACTTCTCACTTATCCACATGGTTAGGTTTCAAAGACCAGGTTGTTATGCAAAAATCGGTGTTGTGCGAAATACTCTAGATTTCCTGCCCCGGCCTTCCCTCCTCCCTAGCCTCAGCCCTCTCAGCTGGGCAGCTGCGGCCCCTCTGTACCTGCTGCAGTCACTGGTTCGCCCTCCCTTGCTCTGCTCACTGGAATCCGAACCCATGTTAGAGTTGCTTGCTGGCCGGGCATCCTCAGCTACCCAGCGTTTCAGCTCAGGATCCGTGGTGCACTGGTTGTGCGAAGTAGGGCAGCACACTGGGCGGTGCACAGTGGCCTCCGCTAGGGGGTGGATCCGCAAAGCCAAGTGCCACCTGCCATATGATGCCCACACCCCGCTCCCACTGACAGGTCGGTGCCTGCTTGCGAGGCGAGCTGGGGGGCAGAGGGTGGGACGCTCCGGGAGAGCGTCGGAAGGAGGGAGAGGAGAGGCAAGCCAGGAGTAGTCAGAGCAGCAGGTGCCCGCAGGTTTCAGACTGGGGTTAAATACCCCGTGCGTGGTGCCACTTCTCCCTCCTGGGACCCTGGAGGAGCTGTGACCAGCATGGGTGTGCGTTTATGCTGGGTCATTAGTGCGCAAAATAGTCGGATGGTAGATTTTTACCATTGTCATAAATCTGAAATGTCGGATAATGGGATAGTCAATAAGTGAGGAGTAGGTGTACATATATATGTGCGGGTATTCACCAGATGTAAATACATCTCCAAAACATCAGAATTTAATACAGAAAAGCCTATTTCTTATCAACCCACCCACACTTCCATCAGTAGGTGTTGAAAGGGTGCTTTCACCCCCGGCCATCAGAGGCCAGGGCAGTTCAGAGGCTCTCCACAAAGACTTAACCATCTGGGCCACTGAGGTCAGGCTATGCTGTCATCAGTCTCTCTGGCATTCACAAATGCCTCCAGACTCCCACCAATGCCTTAATCTGACACACTCCTCCCACAAACTGCCTTTTCAGATAGTCTCATTCTTAACCACATTAGCCACTTAAATTTTGCTATTCTCCACTAATTGTCCTTTCATCCAGGCACTCAGCTATTCCATGGAGTCCTCACTGAATTCAGGTTTGGTTTAGATGCCTTAAACTTTTCCTAAAAATGTCTCACCCAAATGTTCACATTAATTGGAACCCACCTTTCCTCAGACACAACCTCCTCCACATCACTCTCCAAGAAACTAATGCCTTTTCTACTCCCTTTCACTCACCAGAAGGGAAGGAATTTTTTCTCCCTACTCGCTCCTCAGTGTTGCCTCCAGAATATTGTTCCTCTGTCATAATTCAGCAAATTCGCCTCTACTGAAGGTTACTACCATCCACTTATTGCTTTCACCAATACCCAGGATACACTTCCACCTGTACTTCAGCATTCAGCTCAGTACTCCTTTTCATCACGTTTCTGAGTGATATCTTGGAGCCTTCAATGTTCATATTCACCTGACATCCTGATACTGAAGATCCTCCAATACTCTGGCTACTGTGAACATCTAAGTGCCACTTTGGCCACCCCACCATTATGACCAAACCTTAGACCTAAGCAGTAGTCTGAACAGCCCCACCTTCAAAATCTCAAATTCTAGAGTCCCTGAGTGCTAACCACAACCATCTCACCTGCTTCCTCTTGGACCTCTCATATCTATCTACCATTGTGATGAAATAATGATGACTGGTGCCCTTGCAAATCCATGTTAATAACCCTGATGGGTCCTTATACTCTTCAGCAATGCATTTATTTATTTGCTGCTAAATCCCAATCGTGATTCCCAGAGTAGATACTCCAAACTTTCTCCATTCCCAAGAAACCAAATTTACCCCATTTTCCTTCCTGACTCTCAGGAATCTTGCCTTTTAAGCTCCAATTTTTTCGTGTATTGAATTTTTTGATGATGATATGTGTTTTCAGTAGTGGAATTCATGCTTACTAATTGAGTGTGTTCACATTTTTGGTTGGCAATATTATTTTTGAAAATTTCATGTGGGCATACATTTTCCCACAAAATGTTGGTGGTAGTCTGGCACAATGTTTAGTCAGTTCCTTCTGTACCAAATATCTTTGAAGGGTGGTGCCTTCCATTTTGTTATATTGGTTTTCCAAATATGACACACATAAAAAAAAAAAATCAAACCCATCAGGGCTCCCTAACTATCACACAGGAACCCATAATATGCTTACAAGGATTATCTAGCTGTACAAAAGACAAATATTTGACCCAATCACACTTCCTGGATGCACTGCCTCATACCTAAGCCTTCTACCTTAGTGAATTTTTGCCAGAGAACATTTCTTTCATTTTTCACTGTTACACAAGCCCCCACTGGAAGGCAGCATACACTTTTAGTGGGACAAGCAGCCTCCCAAGAAACCTGATAACCCAAAAATGTGGATGCATTCTGTCCCATTCAGATGTTTCAGTTCACCTGCTTTACTACCTGTCAAATACAAATTAAAGAAATTTACCTAACTGTGAAAATATACTTTTAATGCCACCTGTTCTCATTTCCATCTTTCTTGTCTCAGAGAAAATCCATCCTCCTTCTTTTGGTCAAAGCCTCCTCTATGAACTATTTGGTGAAGGCCTTCTCTATGCGCCACTTCTTCAGTGAACACACCCCCAGCAACTGACACCACTCTCACTTGCATCTTCAATCTTTCCTCCACTAATGTGTCCATCTCTCAGTCTACAGAATGGTTCTTTGGTCCAACTAGATCTTATCCCTGATTCTAAAAAACAATATAATAAAAACTTTCCTGCTCCTGTTAAACCCTTAAGAGGTCCTCCCTCCTCTGTTCTCATGTTCACTGCAACATTAGTCTTACTCACTGCCTCCTACCCTTCTCTTTTCAACCACTTGAAATCTCTTTTCACATCTGTCATAGACTGAATTGTATCCCCCCAAAATACGTGTCAACTTGGCTAGGTCATGATTCCCAGTATTGGGTGATTGTCCACCATTTTGTCATCTGACGTGATTTTCCAATGTGTTGTAAATCCTGCCTCTATGATGTTAACGAGGTGGGATTAGTGGTAGTTATGTTAATGAGGCAGGATTCAATCTACAAGATTAGGTTTTGTCTTAAATCAATCTTTTTTAAGATATAAAAGAGAGAAGCGAGCAGAGAGACGGGGGACCTCATACCACCAAGAAAGCAGGGCCGGGAGAAGAGTGAGTCCTTTGGACCCAGGAAGTCCTTTGCAGGCACGGAGAAGCTCCTAGACCAGGGGAAGATTGATGACAAGGACCTTCCTCCAGAGCTGACAGAGAGAAAGCCTGCCCCTGGAGCTGGCACCCTGATTCAGACTTCTAGCTTCCTAAACTGTGAGAGAATAAATTTCTATTTGTTAAAGCCATCCACTTGTGGTAATTCTGTTATAGCAGCACTAGATAACTAAGATAACATCTACTTTAATAATGGCCTAATCATCAAATTCAATTTTTTTAATATTCATTCTCAATAAATAGGCATTTTAATGTGATTTTCAGGTAAGTCACAAAGAGGTTTCACATGTATTATCTTACATATTACTCAAAACTCTATGCAGTAGATAAGCAAGTATTACTATGCATGTTTACAAACGTGGTAGCAAAGGCTCAGAAAGGTTAAGTGACTTACCTAAGATCACAAATCTATTGGATGAGTCAGAAATTTAACCTATATCATCTTATACAGTGTTTCTCAACCTTGATTCCATTGATATTTTGCTCCAAATAATATTTTTACTGTGGAAGCTGTGCCGTACATTATAGGATGTCTGGCAGCATTCTTGGCTTCTAGCCACTAAATATCAGCAGTAAACCGCACCCCCTCCCAGTTTTAATAACTGAAAATGTCTCCAGACGTTACCGTATTTCCACTGGGGGGCGAAATTGCCCCCTTCTAACACCATACTGGAAACTTGTTTCATTACACAATGTATCAGACAATATTGACTTCCCTATTATTCCTAAAACTCCCCCTTTCACTTGTGTTTTCCATTAAGTCACACTAACATGATTCTACTTTTAACTATTCTTTTTTTTTCTCAGGCTACCTTCACTGGAGAGGTAGTAAATTATTTTAGAACAAGTCTGAAAGCCTGCAATCAAAGTCTTGGCCAAGCCACTTGACCTTGAGCAAGTTATTTAACTTCTTTGATGGTAAGTTACTTCATCTGTAGAACTGGAATAATAACAACAGCCTCCTCAGAGTGGCATAAGCACTTGATGAGATAATACAGGAAAAGCAGCTCAAATGTTGCCTGATATAAGACAGATATTCAGTAAATATTAGAGTTACTTTTGCCACCTTATTCCACACATTGGCCTTCCTTGAGCTTTATCTTTCATACCTCTCTTCTCCTTTTTAAAAATTCTGAGGAAACACACTTACTCCCACAGCTTCAACTATCACATCAGACAAACAAAATTCCAAATCTATACCCTAGAACCATTTTTTTTCAACTCTCTTCTTTGTGCTACCTCTAGTCAATCAAAAGTGGAATATCAGTTATATATTTGACTTCCTCCTCTGTCACTGTTTTTTGGTTCCATCTTTTCTTTCTGCTACCATTCTAATTAAGACTCATCTCTTCTGACCTCTAGATTATTTTAAAAGTCTTCCAAAGGCAACGAAATCAAAAAAGGGGCAAAGGACTTGAATAGACAGTTCACCAAAGAGAATATTCAACAAACACATGAAAAGATGCTTAACATCATTAGCCATTGTTGTTGTTGTGTGTGGTCGAGGTGACTCATAGCGACCCTACAGGAGAGAGCAGAACTGCCCCACAGGGTTTCCAAGCAGCAGCTGGTGGATTCGAACTGCCAACCCTTTTGATTAGCAGCCTGAGCTCTTAACCATTTCACCACCAGGGCTCATTAGCCATTAGGGAGATGCAAATGAAAACCACAATGAGTTATCACCTCACTCTTATTAGAATGGCAATGATCAGAAAAACGGAAAACAACAAGTATCGGTGAGGTTGTGGAAAAACTGGAACCCTCATCCATTGCAGGTGGGAATGTAAAATGGTTTAATCATTGTGGAAAACAGTTTGGCAGTTCCTCAAAAAGTTGAATACAAAATTAAATATGATCCAGCAATCCTACCCAGAAGAAGGCAGGAATGCAAACAGAAACATGTACACCAATGTTCATTGTAGCGCAAAAGGGGAAACAGAACGTCCATCAACAGATACATGGATAAACAAAATGTGGTATATACATACAATGGAATATTATGCAGCTGTAAAGAGAAATAAAGTTCTGATGCATGCCACAACATGGATGAACCTTAAAAACACTATGCTGAGAGAAATATGTCAGTCACAGAAGGACAAAGACTGTATGATCTCACTTATATGAAGTAAGCAAATATATAGAAACCAAACATTATAAAATGTTACCAAGGAGGGAAGGAGAAAGGGAAAGTTTCTGTTTGGGGTCATTGAATTGATGTTAATGGTAGTGGAATATTTTGGAAAAGGGTAGCAATAACAGTGGTACAACATGAAAAATGTAATCAATGTCATTGAATTGTAAAATGGAAGTTGTGTTGGCAAATGTTTTGGTGTGTATATTTTCACCGCAATAAAGAAAAGGTCTTCCCAAGAGTCTCTCTGCTTCTGTATCAGGGGCTACCAAAGTAGCACGCATGCATGCATGCATGAAGGAGCTCAGAAAAGACCAGAGTAGAAAAGAAATATATATTTATGTTCATGTTTATCTCATCTTTGATTAATATCCATGTTTTGTTTTCTAATGCACATAGTGCTAGTATGTACATAAATAAGTTCTATCTATAAATAAACACATGTGCATGTATAAGAAGTCCATGCTCAGAATATATCCTTTTTTTTAATTGTACTTCAGGTGAAGGTTTACAGAACAAATAGTTTCTCATTAAATAGTCAGTACACATATTGTTCCACGACATTGGTTAACAACCCCACGACATGTCAACCCTCTCCCTTCTCAACTTTTTTTTTTGGTGAAAATATACATAGCCAAAGATACACTATCCATTTCAAAAATTTCTACATGCACAGTTCAGTGACAGCGATTACTTTCTTCCAGGTGTACTGCTATTCTCACTTTAGATGAAGGTTTACAGAACAAAATAGTCTCTCATTAAACAGTACACACGTTGCCCTATGACAATGGTTAACAACCCCAGTACATGTCAATGCTGTCCTCACTCAACTTGGATTCCCTATCACCAGCTTTCCTGTCCCCTTCTGACTTCTAGTCCTTGTCCCTGGACTGCTGTGCCTCATTAGTCCCATTTTGTTATATGAGGCTGTCTAATCCCCAGTTGAATGGTGAACCTCAGAAGTGACTTCACCACTGAGCTAGAAGGGGTCTGGGGGCCATAGTCTCGGAGTTTCTCCAGTCTCTTTCAGGCCAGTAAATCTGGTCTTTTTTGTGTGTGTTAGAATTTTGTTCTACATCCTTCTCCAGCTCTGTCCAGA